CTCTCTCCCTCCTTTCTTGTCCTTTCCTCTCCTTCCTCTCTCTAGAATAAAATAATAATAATAAATTATTAAAAAGTCACCCAGAGAATAATTTTAAAAAAAAAGAATAGACAGGATAGAAAGTCCAAAAATCGACGTAAATATAGCCGACTGGTCTTTGACGCTGGAGCAAAGGCAGTCTTTCCAACAAGGGTCCTGGAACAACGGGAAATCCATCCACACGCAAAAACTGAATCTAGACACAGACCTTACACTTGTCACAAAAATTAACTCAAAATGGACCACAGACCTAAATGCAAAAACAAACAAACAAAAAAACCCCATAAAATTCTTAGAAGATAACATAGAAGAAAATGTAGTTGACCTTGGAAGTGGTGATGACTTTTTAGACAACGTCATAGGTGTGATCCATGAGAGAAAGAGTGGATGAGCTGGACTTCATTAAAGTTAAAACTTCTGCTCTGCAAAAAGCATGGTCAAGAGAATGAAAAGACAAGCCACAGACTGAGAGAAAATATTTGCAAAGGACAAATATGATAAAGGACTGTTATTCAAAGTATACAAAGAACTCTTTTTTTAAAAAAGAAATTAAATGTTTTCATTGATTATTGGAGAAAAAGGAAGGGAGAGAGGGAAATAGAAACAGCAATGAGAGAGAAACATTGATCGGCTGCCTCCTGCACGCCCCCTACTGGGTGTCGAGCCTGCAACCCTGGCATGTGCCCTGACCAGGAATCGAACCTCCACCTCTCTGTCCGTGGGACAATGCTCAATCCACCGAGCCACACCGGCTGGGACCAAGAACTCTTAAAACTCAACAATAAGGAAACAAACAACCAGTATAAAAAATGGGCCAAAGACCTTAACAGACACTTCACCAAAGAAAATGTGCGGATGACAGGTAAACATGAAAAGTTGCTTCATCTCATATGTCATCGGGGAAATGCAAATTAAACAACAAGCTACCACTGAACACCTACTAGAATAACCAAATTCCAGAACACTGACACCAAATGCTGACCAAGATGCAGAGCAACAGGAACTCTCATTCATTGCTGGTGGGAATGCAGAACAGCACAGCCTCTGTAGAGGACAGTTGGTGTTTCTTACAAAACTAAACATACTCTCACCATCTGACCCAGCAATCACACTCCTTGCTATTTTTACCCAAAGGAGTTGAAAATTTATGTCCACAGAAAAACCTGCATATGGATGTTTATAGCAGCTTTATTCTTAATCGCTGAAACTTGGAAGCAACCAAGGTGCCCTTCAGTAGGTGAGTGGATAAACTGTGGCACATCTGGACAATGGAATAGTATTCATATTAAAAAACAATGAACTCTCAAGCTGAGTAGAGACACCAAGGAATCTTAAATGCATAGTACTAAGTGAAAGAAGCCCATGTGAAAAGGCTACATCCTCTATGATTCCAACTAGATGACAGTCTGTAAAAGGCAAAACTACGGAGACAGTAAAAAGATCAGTGATTGCTGGGGGTCAGGGAGCGGGAGAGGCGTCTAGACGAAACGCAGAGAGTCTCCAGGGTGGTGAAAATACTCTGCATGACACTGTTATGGTGGATACGTGTCATTATACACTTGTCCAAAGCCACAGAATGTACACTGTAGACTGGGTGATAATGATGTGTCAGTGTTGGTTAACTGTTGCCACTTAAGCCCCTAATTGAATGAGGGCCCTGCGCCCTGGACTGTTTCTCCCCATGGGTCAGAACAACTCAGCCGAGCATTTCCCTAAGTCAAAGGGCCTCTCACTCCTGTGGCCTTCGTGTTTCCGTCCCCACGCCCAGAGGTGATGGAATCAGGCTGCAGAAGTCTGGAGCAGGGTGGGAGTGGGGAGGGCAGAGCTGGGTGGCTACAGGCTGCCGGAGCCCCGCCAGAGGCCATTCTTTATGGTGATGTGACAACAATGGCAAGTGGCTTATTAGCCAAGCATGTGCGGGTCCCTGGCACTGCTGTAGGTGCTTCACATGCATTCCTGTCACACCCTTTTCTCACTGAGATGCAATCCACATGCCATAACATTGACCCTTCCAAGCATACAATTAAGTGAGTTTCAGCTTGGTCACTAACAGTTGTGCAACCATCCCCACTACCTAGTTCCAGAATATTTCCATCACACCCCAAGGGAACCCTGCACCCATTAGCAGCCTCCTTGACATCTCCCACCCCGCCAGTCTCCAGCCCAGGTCCCCTGAGCACCTGCTGCTGGCTGTGATCAGGAAAGAGGCAGGGCAAACTCAGCAGAAGAGCACTCCAAGGTGGTGCCCATCAGAGCTGCGGTCCAGGTCCTGTGGAGCATCAGGACTCATGCAGAGCCCTGGCTTGTTTGGCTCAGTGGTTAGAGCATCGGCCTGAGGACTGAAGGGTCATGGGTTCAATTCCCGGTCAAGGGCATGTGCCTGGGTTGCGGGTTTGATCCCCAACCCTGGTTGGGGTCGTGCAAGAGACAGCCAATCAATGTGTCTCTCTCACGTTGATTCCCTCCCCCCCCTTCCACTCTATCTAAAATCAATGGGAAATTATCCTCGGGTGAGGATTAACAACAACAAGAAAAGACTCCGGGAGAGACAGGTCAGTGTCCATTGCAGTGAGGCAAAGGCTTTGGCAGAGATGGCCCCTCACACCCTGGGGAATGGCACCAGAGCACACAGCATGCTGGGTGTGGCCAGCGGCCGAGTGCCAGAGGTGGAGAAGCTGTCCCTGGGGACTGGGGACCAGGTGTGCATGCCTGCGGCTGTTCAGGGGGTGAGGGAGGTGCCAGGGCCTAGAGGGGCCGGGGTGATGTGGGAGCCACCCCCAGACTGGAAGCTGAATTGTTCACATTTTTTGTGGCTGGGGCAAGGGATAAAGACATTTTTGTGGGCAAGAGAAAAATTGTTGGCCTTGGAACTTAATATTTTTTATCAGTCTTGGCTCTAGGCTAGATGAAAAGACAGACAGAAGCGGGTTTGGGCGACGCTGGTGTGAACAGTCTGGGGAAACACTGACGCCGCCGCGTGTCTCTGACCCTGGGCGTGTGTGGAGCATGGAGGTCGTCCCTGTGTTCTCTGGCACCCGGCTGTCTTCCGGGTTGGTGGCCCAGGTCCAGTTGGCACGGGCTTGCTCACAGCTTCTCTGCTGCTAGCACCAGGACAGCAGGGACCCTGACGGAGCTCGGCCGAGCACCCCGCAGCCCAGGCCCGGCAGTGCTCGGTGCACGCGCAGGACCCGAGCAGTGGCCCTGGGGACTCGGAAAGCCACCGGCTGGGTTCAGCGTCCTAGATCGCGAAGGCCTCCTGACTCAGGGGAACGGTTCAGTTCTTAACTCCAGGCAGAGGATGTTGCTCTTCGAGGTACTTGCTGTGTGACCCCAGATGCGTCAGCCACGGGGCAGCGCGTGGCTCTGCCAGCTGTTTATTACTGCAAACGTTCAGTCGCGTGGCAGCCGGAGGCCAGGGTCCGCCCTTCGTGCCTAGCGGCCCTGCTGTGCTTTCAGCTCCGGGCCCCTGGCCTGCCTCTGACCCCTGCCCCTGCGCAGTCTGTCTCCATGCGGCCACCCTTCCTACGCTCCACAGTCTCAGCTAAGAAAGAAAGTGTCTTTCCTGTGGAGGAACCCAGAGGTGGGCCCCCCTGCCTTCACAAACAGAAAGCGGGGGGCTCTGCCCTGTCCTGCGGGGGCCGGGCTATGCTGGGCCGCTATCAGATCACGTTCTCCTGGAACTGCTGGGGCACGTGTGTCCATCTGACAGGTCGTGCTCGTGCTGAACCAAAGCGGCTCGGCAGGCAGTGAGCTGACTCCCGCCGACTCAGCCCGCGGCTGCCGTGTTCCCGTGCGCTGCTCCCTGATTGGACGTGTGTTTGCAGCCTTCACAGGAAGCGTTCTGCACGCTGGGAACACTACGTAGATCTCTCCGTGTGGGGCTGAGGACGATTGTCGGTCACCATCGCGTTCACAGCCGGGGTGGGGTGGGGGAGCAGGAGATATGTCTTCTTAAAACTCTTTTTCCTCCCTCTTTCCTCCTCCCCCCGACTCCCCTTCCTTATCTCTTTTCCCCAATGACTCAGGGCTGTCATTTAGGGGCTCTGGCCTGTCACTCGGCCAGGATTTCATAATTTCCAAGGTCTGTGCTCACCCGCTGCTCCGGGTGTGTCTGGCAGCAGGCGGGTGCACCGTGGGCCCCGGTTCATAGCTGTTGGTCTGTAGTAGGCAGAGCTGCACCCCAGGCCCTGGCCGAAGGGCCTCAGAAGTGCCCACTCTAGTGGGGTAACCACAGGGGTACCCGGCCGAGCAGACCAGGCAGCTCCAGAGCACTCTGTGAACAATGACAGTTGGAAGCCCAGAAGCCTTAAATGGGAAACACAGACTCAGGTAGCAAAACCCTCTCCAGGTGTGATGGCAGAGGTGTAAAAGGCGACACACACGCAGACCATGGTTGACGCACAGGCCTTAGAAACAGCACTTTATGTTTGAGCCAGAGCATCTTTCTGTACAAGCAAATAAATGCCAGGAGGACACAGCACTGGGGTGGAGACCCTACCCCTTCTTGGGGACCCACCTAAATATATCAACATTCAACACAATCCCTTTAAAAATGATCCCCACCCCTGGATACCCCAGGTTATGTTCCCTTTGCAAAACAATAATAACAACTAACTAATCAGGAAGAAATGAACATTTGCCGGGAAATGGAACTTGGGTTTGTGTAAGCGGTGACAGGACCCCAGAGCAAGGAGGAGCCAGGTAGAAGTGTTAGCTCTGTTTGGTACATGCTGGGTGAGGCGACCAAGCAGAGGTGCCCCCTGGGCCTGGATCACCTGGGGCTCTGTCCTACCCCCGGTTCTGCCTGTCCTGCCTCTCATGTGCCCAGGGAGGGAAAGAGGGCATAGACTTCAGAAACATTTTCCTGATGTCTCTAGGAGGTTGGCCACAAAAGCAGGCTTTGTAGAGGCTGCTTTGTTTTTTATCAAAAAGAAATTCTTTCTCCATTTCCCCCCTCTGTGTCAAGGAGCGTAGGGGGGAGGCTTCTCCCCAGGGAGGAAAGGGGCTGGAGCATAGAGAGGCGGGGCGTTGGGCGGAAGCCCGAAGCTGGAGCTGGACTGGGACGGAGGCTGCGTGTCCTCAGACAGGGAGAGGTCAGTGGAGGGCGAGGCTGGGAAGCGGCTGGACGGCTGCAATTGAACAGAAGAGGCTTCCTCAGTCAGTGGAGAGGGCCGGCCACACATGCAGTCCACGCGGAGTACCCCTCAAAGAGCCCCCCTGGGGCTCGGGCTCCCCCCAGACCCAGGGCCACCCGCCTAACCGAGGCCCTTCTCATGGGAGCACTCCCCGATCAGAGCGTGTTCTCAGCTGGGGCCTCCTTGCACAAAGTCTGTTCCTGCAGCCGCCCGGGGAAACAGCCATCTGTGGATTCCTGGCTTCCAGGCCTGGTGCTTGCTGTGTGCGAGTCCTGACTTTCAGGGGGGTGGCCTTTGACTAGACTGACACCAGGGCACCCAGAAGGGCAACCGTGTCCAAGGAGAAGGCTGCCCCGGTTTGGGGGACCCCCTGGGTTCACCCAATACTTCATACTTTAAAGGAAAAAGAAAAAACAAGGTGCTCAGCACTTTTCACCTAGTGTGACGGTTAATCTAGTGTCAACTGACCAGGCCTCAGTGCTCAGACGTCTGGATGCTGCTGAGAAGGTACTCGGCAGGTGGGAGTAACATGGAAATGAGGAGACGAGGAAAGCAGATCGCCCCCCATGGTGGGTGCCTCATCCGTCAGCCGCAGGCTGTAGAGAACAAGACCAGGGCTTCGGGGAAGAGGGATTTCTTCCAGCAGACTGACCTCCAACTCAAAACGACAAGCTCTGTTCTTCCCTGGGTCTGCCGCCCCGCCCCGCCCCGCTCTGGGCACCTTTGCTCTATCGCCCTCTCTCTGCTGCTCTATCCATACCTCTGGTCTGTGTCTGTCTGTGCATCCATCCGTCCTGTTGGTTCTGTTTCTCTTGAGGACCCTGACATACACTCAAGTAAAAGTGATTCTGAGAAGGAAAAGGTTTTTCCAGTTTCCCTCCATCGGCCACTGACCTCTTAAATGTTTTTCTTTTATTTTAATTTCTAAGAGTTGAAAATGCCTACTTAAAACCAATGTTTAAATGACTAAAGAAACATCGCCTTCTGTGAAATAACTCAGATGTGTGTGCAGGACCCTGGTCTCCTGGCGGTGCCGTGGGGCCTTTGCGCTCGGCCTGCCGGAGGCCAGCCTGTCCGCCTCGCCCTTCCCTGGAGACCTCCCCACTGAGGAGACCCTGGAGGCTCGGAACCTCGGGATTCGGAAAGGATCTCCTCCCAAGCTGTACCTGAAGCCCACAGTGTCACCTTGCTCAGGGTCAACAGTCTGGGCTTTCAGGATCTGACAGCCCAGGCCGGCCTTCCTTCCTTCCTTCCTTCCTTCCTTCCTTCCTTCCTTCCTTCCTTCCTTCCTTCCCTCCTTCCTTCTCTCTCTCTCTCTCTCTCTCTCTCTCTCTCTCTCTCTCTCTCTCTCTTTCTTTCTCACACTTCTGACCACAGGATCAAAGCAAAGCTCTAGCTAACATTCTCTCTACTGGGAGCCCCCAGATCCTACCATGCAGGTGTACACTCAGTTCTTCATTGGAAATGAGCACCTAAGAGAACCACCACATAAACCACCCCACACCACAGAGTAAACCACAAGGAACCACGAAGTAAACCTCTACAAATCCACAGAGTCAACCACCACGAACCACAAGAGTTAGCTACCACAAACCACGGAGCAAAATAACACAAACCATGGAGTAAACCACCACGAATCATGGAGCAAAACACAACGAATCACGGAGTAAACCACCACAAATCCGCAGAGTCAACCACCATGAACCACAGAGTCAACTACCACAAACCATGGAGCAAAACACCACAAACCATGGAGTAAAACACCACAAATTTAGAGTCAACCACCACGAACCACTGAGTAAAACACCATAAACCACTGAGTAAACCATCACGAATCACAGAGTAAACCACCACAAACCACTGAGTAAAACACCACAAACCACAGAATAAACCACCATGAACCGTGGAGTAAAACACCAGCAACTTATGGTGTAAACTACATCAACAGATAGGGCCATACCAAGGAGTGGACAAGAAATCCTTTAATTACAGGGTGTGAGCTAAATCTCTGCTTGTGTTCTTGTTCACAAAAGTTCATCGAAATCAACCCCTTCCCAGATTTTCCTGACCATGCAACTGCTAGGAGCAAGAACATTTTCTTCAAAAATCTGTCTGTTGGCCAGCTGCTCCAAACGGCCCCTCGGCAGCTGACTCACTTGCTGCTACTGTGCAGGGGCATTTTTGCTGCTAAGGACTTCAGCAGGGCACTGGAGGTGCCCCCCTCCCTTCTCTGCTGCCTCTCAGCGGAAACAGAAGCATCAGTTCTGTTGTTTTCCTGCTAAGGAAACAGAAACCTCATTGATTTGTCCTCTCCTCAAATCCAATTATTGATGTATATGTAATTATACTCCTACATGTGCAGGCGATAATAGCTGATCAGGCCATCGAGAGGGGAGCCCAGGCCTCCCAAGGGGCGGGGGGTGAAGAGGGGGCATCTGCTGCTTGTGAAGACCCAGAGGCCCCGAAGGACGGAACATGACGCTGGAATAAGGCAAATCCATTCACCAGCCCCGTGTTTTAGGATAGAAGACCATCCACCCACATCCCGCACTCCTACAAGGAGCAGGTCTCCTGAGGGAAACCTCAGACCTGCCAGAGCCCAACAGTGGCCCAGGGCCCTTCAGTCAGGCTCCAGACTCACCGAGAGCCCTGGCTGCTGCTGGCCTGCAAGGCCCACTCACCTGCTGCCAGGCCCCTCCATCAACACAGGGAGATGTACGACTTCATAACAAATGATCGGGATCTGAGACCCCACAGCATCCCTCCCACCCAAGCAAGAAACACAATTCGCCCTGGCCGGTTTGGCTCAGCGGTTAGAGCGTCGGCCTGCGGTCCTGAGAGACCCGGGTTCGGTTCCCGCTAAGGGCACGTACCTCGGTTGCAGTTTGTCCCCGGCCCTGGTCGGTTGTGCGGGTGGCAGCCACTCGATGTGTCCCTTCACATCGATGTTTCTCTCTCTCTCTCTCTGATCCTCTCTCTCCCTCCCACTCTACCTGAATAAAAAATGGAAAATGTCCTCGGGTGAGGATAAAAAAAAAAAAAAAGAAACACAATTCCTCATGCATTAATACTGTAAATGTCCCAGAATTTGGTGGTGGTTGGTGTTGTTGTTTGTACAGGCAAAGGAATGCTAAGTCTGTCTGGTTGTCCTACCCCAAAATGAAAGCCTAGGTAAGTTGTGTGGACCAGTGGTTCTCATCTTTGCCCCCCTGAGGACACTGGGCAACATCTGAATACATTTTTGGTTGTCACAATAGGGGGCGTACTGGCAGCTGGTGAGTGGAGGTCAGGGACACTGCTCAACATCCTATAGGGCACAGGGCAGCCCCACCCCTCAGGGCCATCTGGCCCCAACATCAATAGCACCACGGTTGAGGCCCCTGGTCTGGAGCCCATAAGGCGACAGATTATCGGGGTCTGTTTCAACCAGAGCTTCCTAGAGTATAAAGAAGGAAAAGCCAAAACCACATGTGGAAATGGAAGGACAGAGCAAGTGCCGCTGTACAAACAAGGTCCGCAAATGTCCCTCTTCCCACAACAACCCCAAGGCCGACAGCATTATGTTAGGGCGAATCCATGAAACGGCCACTGTTGTGAGCATCCTGTGGTTGGATACTGGCAGACTCACATGGCCCCGCCCGAACGGCTGTGCGGATGGGACCCGGGCACCTGGTGGCAAGCCCCAGTCGCTCTGGCCAGGAGATCACGGGGAGCTTCTGGGGACCAGGTTGTGGATTAGAAAAGGTGAGCGTCCCCAAGGACACCAATGACTTCATCACCACAGCACGCAGGGCGAAGATGTCCAAAAGCCAGACGGGGATGGGAACCTCCTCATGAAGCGCTGTGTGTGGAGTCACGCGCCGCATGGCCCCTCTGGTCACCCCCCCACCCCTTTTCCAGTCCAGGCTGCACCACCGCATTACCTACATCAGGAGAGGGGACGCCCTAGGTCTTCCTTCAACCCAAGCCCCCCCCAAGTCCTGCCTGACCAGCACTGTCCTGCAGACTGCTGTCTGTGACGTGAGCCCATCGGCTTCAGGCAGGTGATGCTCGGCCTACCTGGAGAGGCAGAGGGTAGGACGAGCAGGTGGGAAGGGTCGCGGGTGCTGGGCAGAAGCCCGAGTAGGCCAGGATCTGCTGGGCAGGGTTGTAGAGGATCTGAGGTGGAGCAGATGGTCTGTAGGCCAGCTCGGACAGAGGGACCTGCCATAGAAAAGGGACATGTGTCAGCCAGCCCTCCAACACCCAGGCACCTCCAGCCTGGAGCAATCCCTCCAGGAGCCCCAGCCTCAAGTCATTCAAGAAGGTGAGGTCCTGTCCAATCTGCCAGGGCAATGCCGGGGGTCTTTGCATCAGTACCTCTTGTATCAGAACGAAACACCTAAAAAACAGAGCTTATGTTTGCTTTTTATAATTGTATTTGTCCCAGGGTTGGGCCTTAGGCCCAGACTCTTTTTGGTGCCCCTCCCCTCCAGGTGGTGCAGTGACAGGCACCTGTCATACAGCTCCGGCCACAGTGGGTGGACTGACTTCACACCTGTTCTGGGCTTGTTCCCCAGGTGCCGCCCCAGGTGAGCAGAGCCCGGGGGTTTCTGGAGAAGTGCAGGTAATGCCAAAGCATTCGAGTCCGGAGCCTGCTGAGAGGCTCTGATTCTCAGCAGGAGAACAGGACATGGGCCCTGATTCTTGGCTGCCCACCCATCCCCTAGAGATGGGCCATAGGACGGACCCTTCCCCAGAAGGCCAGTCCCTCACGTGGGGCGCTCAGAGGGCTCACAGCCCAGACAGGGATCCCTCCCTGAGAAGACAGAACCTGGGTCCTACCTGACACCAGGGGTAGGCACTGCCACCTTGGGGAGGGGTGGGGACAGCAGAGGTAGATCACCTGAAAACTCATCACTACCCACTGAAGGTCCTGAGGAGCGGGGGTGGAGTGAGGAGGGGAGACTGGAACCCAGAACCAGGCCCCAGAACTTCAGGGTGATGCTAACCAGCCAGAAGGGGGGGTGAGCCAAGAGGAGATGGCCGTGGGAAATAAGAAGTCACCCGAGCTGCCTGTCCCCAGCTCCCCCACCCGCCAGCTGAGGGGTGAGCCAGGGGCGGTCACTTCGCCAACACTCTCACCTCCTGCCCTACCCCCGCCAGGGCCACCCTCCGCACATCCTGGGCTCAGCACTCCCCCCACCAGCCCGCAGGTGCAGGCACCCCCGGAGGAACTGATCACACAATGACACGTGTTCTCTTCCAAGGGGGCCCTCCCGGCAGGAGCTCACACAGACGACTGCACGCTGGCTTTCTCCGAGGCAATGAGCTTGAAATGCTGAGGCGTAAACCGAGCAGCTCCAAACAGGGAGTGAGAAAGAATGGAAGACTTGGGGCAAAGCCTGCACGCCTGGCCACTCCATGTATGTGAGCAGACATGCTGAGTGCCTGCTGTATACCCCGGCTGACCTGCAAGCTATCCTGGCACAGCGGGAGCCGGGCCCCACAGAGTGCTGCGGGGAGCATCCTGACCCCCGGAAACAGCTGCAGCCAGAGTCTGGAGGTTGGGCTGAGCAGGGGTGATGGAGGTTGAAGGTCAAGGTTCACAGATGACCTCAGGGGCCAAAGAGGAACCTGCCTGGCTTTGCTCAGCATTTTTTCCATTTTGAGTTTAGGGAGGACAGGGCAGGGCTGGGGGTCTCCCATGAGGGAGCTAAACATTTTGGCATGGGAAGCTTCACTCTGAAGTGACGGCCACTCTGTGGGAGGCACTGGGAGGCCCTACCCAGCTTTGGCCCTGACCCCATGCATCTGCCTGGTCTTGCCCACCTTTCTGATCCCCAAGCCCATTGTGTGGGTGACCTTGAGGAGGTCCCAGTTGGGCCAACAGGACTGTTCACCTGGCATTTCTCAACGTGCCTGAGGCTCAGTGCAGACCCCTCCTCACCAGACGGGGTATAAACGAGTGTGTCTAAGTGTTGAGACATTACCAGGCTCTAGCCTCAGGACCCTTTGCAGACCCGGAGATCCTCATGCCCCACCTGCTGGGCCAAGGAGATGGCTCTGGCACCCACCTTGTGAGGAGCCTCGGGGGCCTGTGTATGAAGCCTCAGGCTGGGGAATGAAGGGCCTTTGTTCCTTAAAATAGTTTTAAATTATAAAAATCCGTTCCATTTAGAAAAGCATCTACTTGGCAGGTGTAAAATGTTAAGGAATCACTCTTTGTGCTTCTCACAATGCCCCTGAGCTTTGGGTTGGAGAAAGAAAATTGTCCAGAGTGGAGTTTAGACACAACGCTGTAGTCTGTTGGGGCCTAGTGGCCGTTCTGGGGCCTTGCTATGTTCCCATAGAACACCCAGAATTTTATTATAAACTCTGATGAACACAAGAGCCCTTCTGGGAAGCCCACCGGCTGACTGCTGTCCCAGGGTGGCAGGAACGAGAGAACTCTAACCAGACACCCTGGGTATCCCATTTCCAAGCTGACCTTGCTTTTCTAGAAAACCTGCCACGAGAGAAAACTCTGAACTGGCTGCAGTAGAAAACCTCTACCCTGAGTGTGTCCATGGTGCCCTGTGGGACCCTCTGCGGTCCCGGGCGCCCTAGGAGAGCCACGACATCCACTGGAGACTTTGCTGAAGGCATGGTGACCAGCGACTTTTGTCCTTGGAGGACGCTTGTCTTTTTGATGAGGTAAAGACACCTTGTGACCAAAGTCAGAGCTTGGAGAGACCGTCTGCACCCTCCAGAGTAGCAGCCAGGAGAAAGGTTTGGTTCCTAGGGGATACCAGGATTTTCCACGCTAGCTCAGATCTTAGCTAGGGAAACAAAACCTTTAAGAAAATCACAGATCTCAGGAGGGCTCCAGGCTAAGCGACTGAAAACGGCCAGTGACCAAAGTCTCCAGAACAGCCAGGTAGTGAGAGATCCCTTGGGAACAGTGGGCCCCTGAGGACTGGTCTGCACGTGCGTGCGCGCTGGCCTTCCAGTTAAAATCAGGTAAGGCAGGTGGCCCCTCGTGGCTGAGCTGTCGTGTGCATGTTTGGTGTTTGCGACTGGTGACCCTGGGGAGCTGTCCCTTCTCCTGTGGCATCTCCGGGATGAAGGGAGCGTTGCTGCAGAAGGATTTCCAGTTTGGAACAGGGGTTCCATAGGGAGAGGACTGAAGAAGGGGGTGTGCCGGCCGGCCCCACGCGTGGGCTCTGCTCCTGTGAAAGGAGAGCCCCTCCAGGGCCTGCCCGAGGGAGGGATGCAGCGGGAGCGGCCTCCACAGCGCGGCCCCTGCGGGCACTGCCCCTTCCTGCAGCTCGGACACCTGAGGCCCAAACTCCAAAGCCCCCATTCTCCAGAGTTCTGGCGTCAAAATCACCTGAGTTTGGGAGAATGCAGACCCCAGCACCCCACCCCCCAGATCTACAGTGGAGGCTCCAGGGGGTCCACACGCGGTCAGGGTGAGAGAGGGGTCCACACGCAGTCAGGGTGAGAGAGGGTGGAGACGGACGCTCCGAGGCATCCAGCTCAGGTTCTTCCTCTCGTAGCTGGACTTGCGTTTCCTGAACGGGATCATGTGGCACGAGCCTCAGAGGACGCCGGCGGTGCTTGAGCACACTCTGCTTCCAGGAACCACCGGGGAAGACTTGCTGTCATTGAAACGCATGGCGATTGGCTTCCACAAGCCTTGGTTTCCCCATTTGGGAGGGCGGGAGGACCAGGAGACCTGCCTCGCACGCCTCCGAGAACGTGGCCCCGAAGCCGGGCCGGAGGCCTCCGAGCTGCCTCACCACTCACCATGTCCTTGAAGGCCCCCAGCACGGCCGCCGTGACGATGCCCAGGAACAGGCCCAGGATGTTCAGCACAGCCGAGGCCCAGAGCAGCCGGTAGAGGTGCAGCACGTCCTGACAGCCACGCACGCCCACGAACTCGTAGTAGGTGGGCGAGTACTCCGTGCTGCGCGTGGGGAGGAGACGACAGCGTCAGCGATGCCTGCGGGGGAGGCCGTGCCCTGTGACAAGCCGGGCTGCAGGACGCGGTGCTGGGGCCAGATGACCCAAACCCAGTCGTGGGGCTTAGCTCTCCAAGGTCCCACGGGCCAGGGAGAGGCCTCAGCCCAGCAGCACCCCGAGGCCAAGGCAGCAAGGCTGTCCCCAAGGAATCTGGGCCTGCCTCTGAGGAAGGAGCCCCGGGCTCGGGGCCGGGAGGATGGCACCGTCATCCAGCTCACTCCCCAAACACTGCCCTGCACAGGCAGGGGCCCCAGCCGTCAGCCGCCAGCAAGCAGGGCCTAAGGGCTGATGGCTGAGCTCTCCCAGCCGGGCCACGACGGCAGAGGGGCTCACCCTGGCCCTCCCAGCATGGACCTGACGTGGTCTGTACAGGGAGAGCCCTGGACCGCAGCCTCGTGGCTGTGGGCCGGCAGCCTGGCCACAGGAATCTGCCGGTGGCATCCCCGGGGTCCATACACATGCTGCTCCTCCATTTCATCTTGGAAACAGGATGGAACTCTCTTCTGGGGGGAGGGGTGCAGCTTAAACCCCTGGAATTTTCAACAGTTCAGGGGAAGGTCCCTAGAAGCAAGCATCGTCCGGACGTTCCACTGGTTTTAATGTGGGTGTTCAGACTACGAATACGAATGTAAAAGACAGTGGGGGAGGGTTTCGGTTCGGGCTTGGAACTCCCACTCCGTCCTAACAAGTAAAAAGCTGAATAGACTGAAAAGTCGGCAACTCTTATGAGATCAAAAAAGGGGAGGATGCAGGACAAACTTTTGCTCCCAGATTAGAGACACAGACCGGTGGATACAGGGAGCCCAGCTTCCCGGAGAGACTCAGGAGCAGAAACACGGTGAGCCCCAGGGGCCGGGGTGGAGAGCTGACCTATAACGGATGAACTGCAGGGGACCCAGTCATGGGGGGCCCACAATATTGTGAGATTCCCCTTCAGAGCTCGGCCGGGTCCCCACACTAAATAGCAGAGAAAAATGCCCTCGGGCTTCCGGCAGACGGAGGGAAGGGATGACTCTGATATAACCAGAGTCTTCTTTCTCCGACCAAGGCCTGTCCTCAGGGGACACTGGCTAACCAGAGCCTAACCTGCTGGGGCGTTAGCCAGGGAAGTTCCCGGCTCCAGCCCCATCTAGCCATCTTCACAGCTAAGCAGGGAGAAGAAGCCTGAGACACACGGGTGAGGTTCCCAGGCCAGAGGCACAGGCTCACCGATGGAGACAGTCACGGGCTGGCAGAATGCTTCCCCTCCCACCTCACCACTAAGCCTTGGTTTTCTCATCTGTGAAATGGGGCCAGCGCTCTTCCCTTATGTGAATGTCTGAAGACTACAAGAGAGGATGGTGCACTGTCCGAGGACAGGGAGAGCGGGGGTGGGGGGCCTGGGGGGAGGGCTGTCAGCGGCAATGGGGCATCTCCCCCAACTCCCCGTTGGACTCACCTCTGGCAGTTGTAGAGGTCACAGCAATAGCAGGTATTGCTCTTCACCTTCAGCTGGCACTTGCTGTTCAGGGAATGACAGGTGACCTGCGAGCACAGAGACCTTTCCAGGTCCGACCTGTCCCCCAGGTGCCCGCCCCTTCTCACCCCACAGTGGTCAGTCGGGCAGTCCTCCCTTCTGAGCCCACATTTCCTGACCTTCCCCTCCCGCCCCCCTTTCCAGGTGCTCTGGGGTTGGAGGTGTGGCCGGACCCTGCCCTCAGGAGGAGTTAGAGGACCAGGCTCAGTCATGCCAGAGTGTCCGCGTGGACAGCGACTGATGGACAAGGAGAGGGAGAGGGTTCTGGGCACCATGCCTCTAGGCAGAGATTCCTGCAGGTGAGAACCCCTTCAGGCAGGGATCTCTGCAGGTGGGGATAGCTCCAGGGAGGGTGAGCCTCCTCCAGGTGGGGATAGCTCCAGGGAGGGTGAGCCTCCTCCAGGTGGGGATAGCTCCAGGGAGGGTGAGCCTCCTCCAGGTGGGACCCCTCCAGGGAGGGTGAGCCTCCTCCAGGTGGGACCCCTCCAGGGAGGGTGAGCCTCCTCCAGGTGGGACCCCTCCAGGGAGGGTGAGCCTCCTCCAGGTGGGACCCCTCCAGGTGGGACCCTGCCTGACAACACAGAGGACAGCTCCCAGCAGTCCTCTGACCAAGTCAGCCCTGCCTAACCCACACAGAAGCCTCCCCTCAGGCTATAAATGTTTGGAGGACATTTGATGTTAGAAAAGCAAGATTAGGGCAAAAATACATGCCTTCCTCCTTCCCAGTGCTATTCAATGTGGGGACATGAACCGTGCCACTCACATTTAGGAGGTAAGCAGGGTGAAGACCACCCTGACTTCAGAAAGAAGAGTGACATTTGGGGAGAAAGAGCTTCCAAGGGAGGGCCACACACCGAGTCTCCCTCTGCGGGAGCTGAGGCCGGGACCCAGGCACACCACACCCTGAGGTCCTCGGAGCCTCCCTGGGGCCCCAGGAGGTCTGGAGGCTCAAGCGACCTATTGGGCAAATGGCCTTTCTTTCAAAATTCTGCAGTTAACTTCCGATAATCACCCGCACTGGCAATGAGGCTCACTAGAGCGCTTGAGGAGTGTAGCAGAAAGACTGATCGGGACAAGGCATGGGAAAGAGTCCAGATGGGTGGAGACCAGACAGGCCAGGGAGCCATGAGAGTAGCCCAGTGTGACTCAGACCCGGAAAGACGGGTCGGGAGGGGCAGCAGGTGAAACTGGAGGCCTGGCAAGACACAGAGGGGCAGGCACAGGGCAGGGGAAGGAAGGGGCAAGGGCGCGGCGTGGCCCTGAGCCCAGCAACCAGCTCACGGGAAGGTCAGAGCCACAGGATGGGGGGCTGGAGCTCGATAGGCCTGACCCTCACCCCGGGGGTTCCCTCCTGGGAGGTGTCCCCTCCTAGCAAGTGTGGGCAGCAACAGCAGGAACAGTGGCTGAGAGCAGGGTCAGTGCCACGGGCCTGGAGCCACTCCTAGTCCGCGGTCTGCCTGCAGGTGAAGCTCTGCACAGCCACCCTGGTCTGGGTGCCACCACCCGCGGCGACTCCGGCACCGGGGAGGCAGAGCTGAGTAGCTGGGACAGGGCCCATCTGGTGTGTAAATGCCAAAATACGACTGACCCTTTATGGAGAAAGTTCTGGCCTCTGGTGTGAACTGTGCAGGCGTTTCTTCCCCCTTATCTTCGGGGAGCTTTTAAAGCCCCAGGTCCACTAAAGCCCCTCCCGGGGATGTGACCCCGCGTCAGGCTCTGCCAAGCTCCTGGGCTGATGCGCTGGGCAGGGGCTCGAGAATCCTGATGGAGGGACAGCGCTGGGGCAGCCCACGCGTGGGCTGTCATCAAAAGGCCTGACAACCGGGGTATGTGGGGGGCTTGCTTCTCTATGATCCTGGAAACAGAGGGTCACAGTTGACCTTGAACTGGACGGAACACATCAGGGTGAGTCGGAAGGAAGGAAAGAGCAGCACCAGGGCCTTTGGAGGGGTGGGGGCACCCCCGGAGGGCCTGGTGGGCCCGCAACCCCCTGAACAGGACAGGCCCCCAAGGCTCCCTCCTGCAGGAGAGAGGCCAGGACCGGCCTTTGGAGAGGAAATGTGCCGCCTGCCTTGGGGAGGGGCAACGGGAGCCTCAGGCCAGCAGCAGAGGCCTGGCCACAAGGCCGCAGCAGAATGCCCCTCCCCCCATGGTTCGCGAGCACAACCACCACGTGGGACATCAACCGTGGCGATTGCTCTCCGATGTTCTCACGTCCACTCCTGGCCACTCTACCCTTCCCTTCTCTGACACGTGTTCGCACTTTGAGGGGTCCTGTTTGGTTAGACCAGCAAGTCGACGCCGGGCTGGAGTGGAAGAGCCAAAGGGGGCTACATGGCCACCTGGATGGTCTGAGAGAAGATGGCATGCCGCGGGGCACTTTATTACTCTTGGCATTTCATGCAGCTAGAAATAGAGATGAAATCACCCTGCAGACGTCCTTGGCCTGGGGACAGTCAGTGAGTTTCTTGGCCAACGCAAACGTAGTATATGAGCTTTTTATTGCAGTGATTAAGTCAATAAAAAATGCTCATCAGATAAGCCACAACCAACTGGACTCATGAATTCCAGGACTGTTGTGTGTCAAAGAAGACAAGTCAGCAGCAGTGATTCCAAAATAAATACAGCACATTAAGATGTCAAAACTAGCTCAAAACAACGTGTGTGCAAATGCCTCACCCTTGCACAGTGGGCAGACGTGAGGGGGAGAACTGTACGAATCCGAACATTCGTCTTTTGACGAGAGACACAGAGACTGTGGGATCCTCAGATGCGCGAAGGGAAGCCAGACACATCAGCCAGTGCTTGCTTACCTCTGTCTGGTAGACGTCGGGCAAGTATCCCACCCCGCTGGAGTAGAACTGGCATCTTCCCGTGGTGAGGGGTCCTGGTTCCTACAGACAAACACAAATGGAACAGTACAGTTTCATCTCTAAATCAGGGGCGGCCAGAGGCAATTTCAGACCTGCCTTCCAATTTCAGACCTCTCTAGAGGAGAGACACCGAAGCCAGTAACTAACAGCCTGCCAGATGGAGACCGCGGAGCAGGAAATACCACAGCTTGTTCCAGAGCAGCCTGGCTCCTGCATCCAGGAGGCAGGTGAATGCCCCAGGGGAGGAGACACCCCGTCCCCGCAGGCTGGGCTGACACATCTCTCATTGGTCAATACGGGGCAGCTGAAGGGAGGTGGCTGCATGACTTTTGGAGGTGCACTCCGACAACTCTCAACAAGTTGACCCCTTGGCTCCTGTCTCTTTCTCTGAAAGCAAAACATATTTTTCCACTAGGAAAGGAGCAAGATGAATTTCAGACTAATTCACTCATGCAGCCAGTCATCCATCATTCACAGAGCACCTCAACAACCATGTGGGATGTTCACCTTGGTGATTGCTCTCTGATGTTCCACCCACCCAACCATCTAGCTAATAATTTAATCATTCAGTTATCTATGCATCCATCCCCTCCTCTATCCATCTATTTATCCATTTGCCCCTTCATCTATCTGTCCCTTCTTCCCTCCATCCATCTATACATATTCCTCCATCCCTCTATCTATCCATTCCTCTATCAATCCATCCAATCATCCCCATCCATCCATACCCCTCCCTCCATGCATCCATCCACCCACCAACTACCCAAGCATACATCCACCTATGGCCCTATGCAACAATTCATCCATGAGTGTCTCCCCAACATTCATGGAGCAGGCACAGAGTCAAATTATACGGGTATAGTTCCTGCCCTTAGGAAATTAGTTAAGGGCACAGACCAGAAAAAAAAAAAAAAGGCAATTACAGAGTGCTTATAATTTCTGGTAGAGAATAGCTGTAAAATGCCATGATACTATAATATCTGTAAGTAATAAAATGAGTGAGAATCCCAATAACTGCATTTAGGTTTATTACTGTATTGTGTTAGTTGTATTGCCCAAAGCAATCCTACTTCTGACCTAAGAAAAGAGTATAAAAAACTCTCAGTGACAACGGCAACAGAAATGGACAGTCATGCACGTGCTCATGCAGGCAGCAGCTACGGGTGGACTGGTGCTGGTGCTGCTCCACGCCAGGCTGGTCTGGATGCCACAGCGGTGGGGGTGGAACTGAGGCTCTGTCCTCAAAGGTCTATCTTCCTGCAGTGAGACAGACACCAGAGCACAGGAAATGTGTGTGGAACATAGAAGGTGGTGGAAAGGGCTGCGGATAGAAACAGGAGGCACACAGGGCAAGTCTGTGGGTCAGGGTCGGTTCTGCCGGGTGCCCCTGTGCCCGATCCCACTCCTCCCTTCGCTTCCTGGGTGTCATCCCAAAAAGGCTTTTCACCAGCAGCTCAGGCACAGCGCCTGTGCCCCAGGGCATCAGCCTGTGCCAGCAAATCCGCGGGACTGCATCAATGTGCAGGTGACAAGCCTCAGGTTCCGATGGTCTGACCCTGGGAACAGTCCTTCTTCGTGCCGATGATCATGTGGAAATGCCCTTCCAGACTGGACAGTGATGCCTTGTGGGCTCCTTCCTGACGGAGCTCCTGCTGGCGATGACCCTCTGGTTCCCAGGGCTCAGGCTCCACGTCAAGAGGGGGGACAAGGGAGCCTGAAATGATCTCCAGTGGTATTTATATCTTGCCTGCAATGATGGATCACTTAAGAAATCCTCTTCATCCATGAAACGGGGTAGGGCTGAGGGGCAGCATGCTTCAGCCTCACTCCTGCAACACTGGGCAGAGGAGATTCTTCCACCTGGGAAACCATGGGTTTTGAAGGGAATTTCTCTTAAAGTGCGCTGAGGAGGAGGAGGCCTGGGAAAGACCGAAGCGCACAGCCCCAGGGCGGGGACTCCTCCTCTGGCTGCTGTGAGTCCCTCAGTCATGAAGAGGCCCCCCCTCAGGAAGGCAAGGCTTCAAAATCAGGGTTCCCAAAACACCTGCCAGACCCAAGCCTTCAGTTTGATGGGGAAACTAAAAACATTAATAATGATCTCATTTTGAAATTCTCATCAAAAATTAAATATTGACCGGCGGTTCTCTGTGTCCACTGAGAGACAGGGATGGGTTCGTGTGGCAACCGCAGACACATGGTCGGCGTTGTTCCTGGTGCTGTTGTTACTAACTGGTCCCTCGTGGCCCCAGGGCTTCACATGGGCTGCCTCCTGCAGCCTCGAGGGTCCCTGTGACCGGAGGAAACCAGTTGGCTTGGGGTCACGGAGCATCATCCATATGCCCCTGTCTGCAGATGTCCAGGTCCATCCGCTAACACTGTGCCAAATACACACCTGTGTCGGAGCACTGCTGCCCCTCCAGTAGTCTGAGGGCGTGCATGGGATGTCCTCCTCAAAGGCCTTGGAATTATCCCCCGCCCCCGCCCCAGTATGATCTGAGCACTAGGATGCTGGCTCTTCCAGGAGAGGGTGAGGCACCCCCATCCTCACAGCCCCCGCTCAGGTGCGGTCCTGGATCAGTATTTGCTGACTGAGCACCGTTTGGGAAATGCGGGTATGAGAGTCCAACACGAAGCCTCCTGCTGACACAGTCACCTGGGCACGAGGTGGGAAGTCAGGTTCAGGCCAAAGGAGATGCTTCCGGTTCTAACCAGCATAGTGCCAGAGCCATGACAACCTGGGGCAGGGACTCGTAGTTCAGTTTGATCTTGCAAAAATAAGAAACAAAATCTTGGGCAAAGTATACACAATTTCCTAAAACATGCCATTAATGGAATGGTGCCATAAATATTTATTCAACAAACAATGAATAACGTAGAACAACAGGCGCAGTGCAGTCTGGCCTTGGCTGGCGGTGTTAGGCCTCCAGCTCCCCCAGGTGGCCCCCTAGCCCACGGGGCCTGCGGCCTCTCCATGATCCTTGCAGGGACCCAGTCCACTCCGCAGGATCAGGGCTCTCCAGGAAGGTTCTGCTGCGTTTTTCTCGGTCTCACTCATACAACAGTAGGCTTGTTTCAACCGGCATCACCACAAATACAAGAGCAATTTGTTGCACTATGACATAACCATGGCTACGAAGTCACTAGGCAATAGGAATGTTTCAGCTCCACTATAATCTTAAGAGACCACCATCATAGATGCCATCAGTTGTTGACTGAAACAGCACGTGGCACATGACTGTCAGTACTGACAGAATCTTCCATCTCAGGTGTCCACACCATTAGATAAACCTAAAAGTATTTCACAGGCTATGGTGTCAGCCAGAAAATTCTGTCATAACCTTTTAAGAGAAACAGATTTAAACTATTAAAACCTGGGAAGTCATGAGTCAGTGGATTTCAGGATGTACTTCATCTTGTTAAATTTAAAGAAAGACCCGAGGAAAGTTACTTGGGAAGTTGGAGAATTTGATTCTAGTTGATGTGACGGTGTGTGTGCACGTGTGTGTGTGTGTGTGTGTGTGTGTGTATTGCAGGAAATGAAGAAAAGTGAGAGAAGGAAAGACATCAGTAGACAAACACAAATTGAGAGAAAAACAGTGAAGGTCTCTGAGCTCTGGAAAATTATTTTTGTATGTAGATCTTTTAAACCCAGAGAAGCAATCGAGGAAAAATCGAAAAGATGGAACTCACTATGTGCCGAGCGGCAAACACACCGTCCACAATGGCACAGCAGAAGGCGGCCACCACGCCGAAGCTGATGAACACGATGGCTGCCACCAACTGGAAGCAGAAGACAAAAGGAGGGTGTGGGCATCCCGTGTTTAACAAAAACCTTCCTTCCAATACACGCCGGCTCAAAGTCCCACCCTGATGTCAGCCCTGCCTTTGGCAGAATTCCCACTTCACCCCTGCCTTCTGTCCTTGATGACTTACAGCCCAGAACAGACCCAGTGCCAGGCACATCCTCGTTGATTTTATTTCGCACGGTAGACAGGCTGCTGTGTGGGTGGGAGAGAGTGTTCAGCCCCCGCCCCTCTGCACTAACCTCATGAATAATCAAGGCTTATTTAACCAGTGCCCACAACGGATATTTAAATGGTTTACAATTTCTTGCTATTACACACTCTGCTACAGAGCCTCCAATTTTGTTCTAGATATAAAATACGGGTTTATGTATGAGGAGGATAGATTCTTGGAATAGTCAAGAACCCATAGTTTCAGACAGGACACCCTTAGGATTTCGGCACTTTAGAATCTGAGCGAGAAGCCTAGGTTGTCCCACCAAGACGCTTGGCCAGTTGGACCCCCTCCCTCCGACAGTCTTATATCCATCTCTTAGATCCCAAACAACACTTCATATCATTACTCTTTTAAGTTTTACCAGTCTGAGGTTGAGGATCTTTTCTTACAGTTGTTGGCCCTTTCTTCACGTGTTTTCTTGTGAAATAATTTCAAGTTTACCAAAACAAATTGCAAAAATCATACAAAGAATTCCTGTGGGTCCTTCCCTCAAATTCCAACACTTTCAAAACCACATTAATGACCTTCTTTATCGGAACTGCTCTCTCCAGCCGTGGAGCCCGGCTCTCATGATCCACAGTGCACATATTTACTCGGCCCTAGAATGTGCAAAGTAATTTTGGAATTACTAACCCAGACCTTGTGCAAGACAAGCTGCCAACTAGAGCACAGTGTTTATGTGCAGCGCGCTTTGTCGTTAGCCTTAGGGACTATGGTCAAAACCTGTTTCCCACGTGACTGAGGTGGGGCCCTTCCCGGGGGCTGAGTTGCTCATGAACAGTGCAGGCAGGCTCACCGGCCACAGTATTGCACGCGGCCCTCTCCCTCTCCATCCTTGTTACTCTGCATTATTTATTTGCTGAACAAAGCAAAGGGAGTTGGTCAGAGGCGTTGCCTGGTGGGACACCCCAGAACTCCGAGTTCAGTTTTGATGTGAAACTCGCTGGCGCTGTTCAAGGGGACAGATGCTGAGACTTGCGCCGCCGCCCGGGCTGCTGTCCCAAGGGGAGAGGAAGCAGGCTGGTGCCAGGCTCGCCCTGGACACCGCGCCTCCCCTCACACCCCCACTCCAGCCCCCAAGTGTTGCTTCCAAATGAAAACAGGCCCCCCACATTGCAAATCAGAGCTGTCGCCAGAGTCCTTTTTGGGAGTATCTCTGAACTGGTCACCTTTTTGGTCCTCAGTTTCCCCATCTGGACAAAGAAGTGCCAGGCTGTGCCTTAGCAAGGCTCTGAGTAATAAATACCTCTGGACACCGGAGCCGGCCCAGTGCTGTGGGTGCAAATGTGACAAAACTGACATGTCCTTGGCCCGTCCTCAGTGTAGATGACGTTTCATGATGAATTTACTGAAAGAGAACGGGGGACTCCCTGAGGGGAGCTGTGCCTGGGTAAGCCTTGACCTGTGCAACAGAACCTGACTCCCTGCTGGACCTTCTACAGGGCGAGGCAGTTTCAACGCAAACTCCCCTCGCTGCTGCTCTGGGCCCTTCGACGCAGTGAGGGTTCTGGCGCTGGTCTGTGAGTTGGAGAGAAGTGGAATGGAATGGGGTCCCCACCATGAAGAGCTGATGCCCCGAGTGATAACCGCTGTAACAGGTGCAGACCAAGAACTCTGGGTGGGCACGAAAAGGGAGGGCCCACCTTCCCTGAGCAGGAGGGAAGGCTTTGAGTGAGCCCTGGAAAAATAAGCCGAATTTCCTCCGGAAGCCAGAGAGGAGCCGCACCACCTACCAGGTAACATCTGAAGTTCATCAATACTAAGGAAATATGGCCAAAGGCAAACATGCTTCCTTTATCTCAGCGGAGACAGGAAATGCCGGAGGACTTCTTCCCCGGTGAAATCACTTAATACAAATAAAATGATTGTGATGTAAAGAGCCATGTAAAAATCATTTGAGGAATCACACCTAACTGAACTTTCTTACATTTGTATTGTTATTTAAAAAAAAAAAAATACCTGACAACATGTCTAAAAGAGCCAGAAAATAATTTTCAGATTTCCCAATAGAGGCCAGGCACCTTTGCTTTTCTGGAGTAAAACAAAACCAAACCGACTGCATCTAATTTGGCATCTGTGTCCTCCCAGCCTCCTCCTTCGACCTTCCGGCCACTCCCAGATGGATGCTCTTGGTCCTCACTGGCTCACAGCGGCAGAGATGAAACACAAAGCCCGTGGTTCACGCTTTTGTTTCACACTGGCCTTGACTCCCAAGGCCACAGCAGCTCATTTTACCATCAGCTGGGAGAGGGAGGCGTCGTGTCCCCATTACTCCTGCCGAGGATGCTTCTGTGATTAACTACGAGGCCCCTCAACTCAGTGCAGCCGGAGAGGAAGGACACGGCTCGAACCCTGTTCCATCAGGGCACCCCCCAATTCCTGTTGGACAGAATTCACCGCCAAAGAGGGTGAACAAGGAGAGACTCAAAGATGAACGAAGTCAGTTTGGAGTTCCCAAAGTCCTTTGGCACAGGGCATCCCGTCTAATTCTGACGATTGTGACGTTACTACCTGAGAAACTCCCGGATGCGGCGCTGCACATGGCCCCACTGACACCCTGTGACTTCTCTCACCACCGGTGGGCAACCAGAGCCATGTGGTTCATGATTTATGATCATACTGTGCTGGGCAGTGAGGCAGACGTGAGCAGAGCAAGGACCATGGGCCTTTCCTCCCTAGAGATAACTTCTAGGCCTCAGTTGTATTGTGGCTCCAGGCCCAGAAAAGCGGCAAAACCAGACCGGTGACCCCGTGGCTGACCTCAGGACCAGCTGCATTGGATAATGACCCCCTTCCCTGACGCCGACCAGTCAGTCAGTGGAGACTAGACCCTGAAAGGACCTGCCTGGAAAGCCGATGAATATTCTACTGAGATCTTCCCCTGGGACACCCCTAAAATCTCCACCCTTAAACCCTTAGTCCAGAGAACACAGCTCAAGAACCCAGCTTGCTCTCCCTCCCGGGAGCATGCCCTTGCCTTCCCCTCCCCCGCTCCCAGGCAGTCACCTTGACCTTCCTCACTTCTAAGCCCCAAGGGCCCTTTCTTTTTTTTTTTTATCCTCACCCGAGGATATTTTTCCATTTTTTGTACAGATAGAGTGGGAGGGAGAGAGAGGAAGGGAGAGAGAGAGAGAGAAACATTGACGTGAAGGGACACATCGAGTGGCCACCCGCACAACCAACCAGGGCCGGGGACAAACTGCAACCGAAGTACGTGCCCTTAGCGGGAACCGAACCCGGGTCTCTCTGGACCGCAGGCCAATACTCTAACCGCTGAGCCAAACTGGCCAGGGCCCAAGGGCCCTTTCTTTACCTCTTGTTTCCTAAGCCCATTTCTTCCATGAATTATGATTTTCCAAATAAATGTTCTTATAGTTTGAGTCTTGATTCTGAATTCTTTCCCAGCCAGAACTCAAGTCCCGAGGTTGCTGAACCCAGGTGGGGTCCGGTCTGACCCCACCGGTCTAACACCTGGTGCTGTTCTTGCTGCCTCCAACCGCGCGTGTGATGAATTCAGTGCTAGCAAAATCACATACATGATACATTCAGTGCTGAGATGATTACACACATGACATCGCCTGAGAACTTTTTTGGTGCAGAAACCCCAGGGCCCAGGTGATGGCGTCGGGGAAGATGTTGGAAATTCTTCCCCCAGCTCTTCAGGCTGGAGATAGAAAAGGTGCCGGAACCAGTGATGGGGGAGCTGCCCCTTAGGAGAGGCCCGAGCTAGGAGAGACCCGAGCTGGGCTTCGGTCCCGGAACCAGCGATGGGAGAGCTGCCCCTTAGGAGAGGCCCGAGCTAGGAGAGGCCCGAGCTGGGCTTCGTCCCAGCTGCTTCTCTCCTTCCCGGCATTACTAACTCTCCTTCCAGTGGGCAGCGCGTGTGACAGCACACAGCCAGGAGAATGCACGCAGCAGACACCTGACCAGTTCCCTGAAGATACAGACCAGTCAGTTCCCACACATGCGGGTGGCCAGAACTTGCGGGTTTTGCAAATAGAAACTGTCTGTTACTCTAGCAATTCTGAAAGGCTCTAGAGTACTATTTTAAATTAATCGTTAATATTTTAATAATTTTATTACTTTATTGCACGGTTTGGGGTCTCTTCTCTTAGGAGAACGGCAACCAGGTTATTCGGTAGGGAAAAGGTCACCTTCAAATCTCCTCTCCACCGGGCTCACGGATTTGCATTTCAACAAGAAAAGTAGATTAAAAAAACAAATACCAAATAGATAAGGTGGTGGTGATAAGAGATGACAGAAAGAAAACAGGGTAAGGTGAGAGCCCCTCACTGGGGAGGTTGTCACTTGGGGCAGTCCCTCATCCCCATGTGTCCCTCCATCTTCCTTTTTAAATCCTGTGCCCTGTGCTGTTGTCACTGGTAAAATCCAACAAACTCTCAGCCCCTTTGTAACACCTGCCCCCTGGCTCTGATTTGGGTCCTCCTACCTGGGCCTGGGGACAGGCGGGCCTCTGCCTGGGTGCATATCACCACCCAGACTACTCTCCTCCTCCCACAATCCCAGACTTAAGTCGTGTCCCTGACTCCTCCCTGTGGCTGTCATTCACTAACCTCCAGGTCGTTCCTTCTGTCCTGGCTCAAGGTCACCCTCCCCAGTGTGACCACAGACATTATTCTTGGTGACTCTGAGTGACCCTTCCACTGCCCTGGCTCTCAGCCCCTGGCCCATGATCACCACCTTCCTCAGCCCCACTCAGCGCGGCCCCACAGGCAGTAACACTCCTCACTCCCTGCCCT